AGTAATTCAATAATTTAATAATGCACTAAAAATATAACCATTATTAATTATATTTATGTAACTGTACAATGTAATTAGTAATAAAGCCTTGTAAATTAAAATTTTTGTAATTTCCACAAATTACGTTATCATAAAAAAGAAAGAAAAAACAAATAAATATCAGAACTCATAAACCAGATTGCTCCCAATAAAATATAAAATTTAAAGATTATTTACAAATAGAAAAAATATCAATAAAATAACAAATTATGTAATTATTCATAAGATTGAAGGGAACAATTATTTCAAAATTTTATAATTGAAATAATTTCTATTTCATTATAAAATAAAATATTTAAAATATCTTAAAATTACACTAATAATGTTAAAAATGATATTTAAAATTACGAGAAACAGAAAATATAAAGCAGAACAAAAACTAACAAATCAATAAGACTTGGAGAGAATTAAAGCTAAGGATAAATCATCGATGGAAAATCTGGTTGCGCGACGACGAGTGAAGATTTCATTCTTTGTTATACGGCTCATGTGATGGACTCGTCACATTTTGGTTGCTGCGGATAGAGCGAGACAGTGTAGACTGAATTCAGTGGAGTGACGTGTGTTCCCAAGGATTTTAATCGCGCGATCGCAGAATTTGCTGGCGTTACACGATCCGACAGTGACATTGAAAGTACTTTTGAAATTAAAATAAAAAAAAAAAAAAATTATTTATGTGAACAATTCGAAAAATGGAACACAAACACAATGAACTGCAAAACTTAAAGCTTGAATCAATAATTCAATCTGTTGATTCCAATATTCAAATCAATATGAATACACTTTGAAGAAAACAAATATCAAAACATTTGTTACAATCCCTTTAATATTTCTTATTCGATTTGTTTTACTTACCAATTATTGAAAATCGTATATATATATATATATACACACATATGCACACAGGCATAAATATATATATATATATATATATATATAAGTTCTTTTTTTTTTAAATTGAACGTTATTCAAGTAAAAGAAATTAAGCATATTCAGTTTGGAATCCACTTCTACAAAAGGTTCAATAACTGTTAACTGTTATAAATTAGAAAATCACAAACTCGCTGTGCAACATATAATGATACATAATGAACAACTTCTTTTAAAGCAATACTAATACTTTGATTTAGTCAATACGTGATACATAAGTTCATAATATTTAATGCTTGAAATTATTATCGGACTATATGTAATAAGATATAAGATTGAATTTTATATGAATTACTATGACGAACATAATAGGAATTTAGACATTAAAAAAGCTTTACTGTCAAGATATTAGGTACACTTCAAACAAATTCGTCTTGTTTATTTCATGTTTGTACATTATAATACTTTTTAAATATAATTATTAAAAAAGTATTTCTAATTATATATACATGATTGTTTGTCGAAAACTAATAGATCAAAAATTTTATATCTGAATAAATTATTAATTGTGATGATAAAATATTGTTTACAACATTAAATATAATACTTTTCCATCAGATATGAAGTAAATTGCAAAATTTCTCATTTCTCTCTGTCTCTCTTCATACATAACAACTAGACTATAAAAACCTTTGGTTATTAGAGTTCTAGGATTTCTTTATTAAATTTTTAATGCTTATTTTAATATTACGTAAAGTTGTACAGTAATTTAAGTAATTTAAGTTTAAATAATATAATTTTATTTATTTTAAATTTGATAATAAATATTTTATAAATAAAATTTTATATTAAGCATTTAGTATTAAATGTAGAAAAACGTACTATATTTTTATTTATTATGTTTGTGACATTTTGTTTATATTAGAATACTTTTATTTATAGTTACTTAAAATAAAAAAGAAGTTGATTTTAGGAGACATAAAACTTTAAAATTAGTTATGAACATAATTAAAAGCTTATTAGAATAAAAACCAGATACGCATATATAAAACAAAATTAAAATTGATTTATCATATTTACTTTGTTCGTTTGTAAATTGTTTTTTTTTTTATCACATTCGAAATCTTCATAGTTTTAAAGTATAATTATCTTTAAATACATGTATATGTACATATATAAATAAATAAATATATATATATATATATATATATATATATATGTGTATATATATATATATGTGTATATATATATAAAATCAATATTTTAACATGTAAAGTAAAATTACTTATTATTTTGTCATTAATCATATTCGTTAAATGAAAAAAAAAAATATATATATAATTGATAAAAAGAAATTATAAAAATTTGTTAATATTTTAATATAAGCAAATCAATATTACTAAATAAAACGAATTCATTATTCTTTTTTTTTATATTCAAATAATTTTCAAGACGTTTTAATAGAAAATTCGTGTTGATGAAATAATCATTTGATAAAATTATTAATTTAATGAATTGTCGAAAATTGAATAGCTCACACATTACGTCTATTATATAGAATTTTTTCATTAAAAATTCTTTAACATAACGAAAATATTGTCATATTGTATAAAAATAGAAATTGAAAATTATAAAAGCAAAAAAATTCAAATAAAATTATAGAAATTATAAAGAAAATGATCTTAATGTACATGTATGACAATATGCTAGATAGGAGATAAAGAGCTATTAAAAATACTAAGTGGAAGGTATGTGTACATGAGTGGAAACACCATTCGTCGAAAAAAAATCTGAGAACGTGTGGGACGAAGTTATACAGATATAACTTCGCTGCGGCGCCGCTGCATCGTAAGAAGTTCTGCACCATGATTTATATGCAATCGCGACGAAATAACACAAAAAGAGGACGCCAGATGAGTGGTTTCTTTTTCTCCTTCTTACACTTGTATTTGAAAAGTAAAAACATTAACCAATTTTTCTGTATAAAATAAAAATCAATAGAAAGAAGATTGTTCTAATAAATCATATCTGCAAATTCGCACTGTAAGCTTTGATTACAGTTTAACAATAAATGTGTTCCTGGATATTTTTTTTATTTATTTATTTATTTTTTTTTTTTTTTTTTTTTTTTAGAAGACTTCGCTTAAGTACCAACTTATGTATTTATTTTGTAAAGTGACACCAATTTTTCAATAATGTTGGATTTTGCTAATGATAAACAAGAATCAATAATCAATAATGTTCAGGATTTTTAAAAGATTAAATAAAAAACGCTTATAGAAAATGCCATAGTGAACTAGAATTTTAACGAAATGTATTGTCGTCACATAATTATAATTACAACTACTTATTTCTGCAAACTATGTAGATATGTAGTAATGTTGCAACATATTAAGACATTTTCTAGTAGTCATGTTACTTCGGAGGCCAACTTTTAATGTATTTTTATACAAAAGTTACGAAAAGTTATATTGCGTGTTGCGATACTTAACTGACTATGTAAAACGGAGTTTATTTGAAAAATATTTAAAAATTAATTTCTACCTAATAGCTTTATTCTGTTTTTTTTTTATTTTTTTTTTATTTTTTTTTTTTTTATAAAATATAATAACGACTATTAGAATTGTGTTTTAAAAAAATATTAGAATTTTCTGGTTCGATGCAATATTCGACTTGGTGTTTAAGACTACAATAAGAATAACTGTTAAAAGAAAATGTAATATTTTGAAGTCGAATGAATACAAGGAATATTATCGTATTCATTAATGTAAAATACATTATTGATGGTTTAGCATTAAAAATGACTTATTTTATGAATTACGTAGGCTTGAAAATTTTATTGACATTTACTCGCTACGTTACCTCAATTCCCTAATGGAATTGTATCATTTCTCGAAGACTATATTTTAGAATTCATTTAATTATACTAACTTAATTTTCAATTACGAAGTGAACATTACTCCCTCCGCACGACGACAAAGTTCTCTCTCCATCCAGCTGCTCGTCCGTGTGAGTTGTCGCGATAGTAATAGCAGTAGTATTAGTATTAGTTTAGTAGTAGTAGTGGTAGTAGTAGTGGCATTAGTAATAGTAGTAGCAGTGGTAGTAGTTGTAGTAGTAGCATCAGTAGTAGTAGTAGTAGTAGTAGTATTAGCAGCAGCAATTGTATTATTAGTATTAGTATTAGCAGCAGTGGCTGTATAGTAGTTTAGAAGTGCGTTAGTAGCAGTAGTAGTATTTGTGCAAACAGACGCTCCGACAACCGTAAGAGAGAACAGCTGAATGCGATATCCAACTGGACTTTATTGCTGCATCTGAGGGCGTGCTTTGATGAAATCATTGCATCCCTGCGATGACTCCTTGCAATAACTCGTGGCAACATGTTCTTATAATTTGTTGCGTAGGTATTTTCGTTAATGACACATATATATGCAGTTTAAAATAAAAATTCAACTTCTCTATTATATAGATGAACGTTATATTGTTTTTCTTAACATTTTTTTCGCCTCGGGCAATTTATGCATGCGCATCTTCAGAATTGATTCAACTTACCTTAAGGTGATAATATTGAAACCAATTAAAAGTATAAAGCAAAAATAAATGTAGCATTTGTTTGTAAATATTTTTGGTAAACGCTTAAGAGATAACAAACCTAACAGGCTAATGTAATAAAAAATTTGTAACGCCTAACTATTATTAATAAGCTAAGGAATTTGTATTGAAGTTTGATGCATAAAAAATATTCCTTTGTATTAATAAACATTGGAAGGAGTTTTTATTTATGTAAACAGGGATAACTGATCGCACCATTACATTTTTATTATATTATCTGACCACTTAACAATTACTTACCACTCACTCGGTAATTTTTGAAGTCAATCAATAAAAATGTGATTATATAAGAGTACTTTTCGGTACCATTAATTAATAATTATTCATATGGAATATTTGAATTCTTTTTAATATAATTATAGTTTCACAAAAACATTAAGCGATGTGAGCAAAGAAGCAAGTGACTAAACATGAAATCACAATACTTCCCTCCCGCATTAAGAGCTAATTTTATTACATTACTAGTAGGAGAATTTTACCTTTTTTTACAGAAACTCGACAACCTTCTTTCTTCGTTATTGTGTGTCACTTGTTTAAAAGGTATGATGCGATTAAGAAGACGACGCGAATTTAGACGACCAAGCAGCAAAGTGGTAAGTGACAATGAAATTCAGCAAAGATGAGGAAAACAAAAGTTCAACCGCAGCACTTTCTCATGTTTATTTTATTTTTTCTCTTTTTTTTTTGCAAAAAAATCCAGCCTTGATCCTGTACCTGATCTTTGCACCTAACACTTGAGAGGCCTAAGTTTCCTGTAACACACCAGTTTTTCCAGGCTAAACCTCAAGCAAATTATTTATAAAATACAGAGAAGTTTTTCAAAAGATATACAGTAAAATTCAATTAAATACTTTTTCCAAAACTTTAATTCTTTACAAAAAAAAAGAAAAAAAGAAAGAAAAAAAAAAAGAAAAGAAACGACCTTACATGCTTTTCAGAAATGTTATTAATGATTAATAAATTTTTAAATGTTACCTTTAAATATATTTATAATTTATTAAAATTTTATCATTAATGTTTTCATATTTTATGCATGAAGAATTAATTCCTACTTTATACTACAAATAATTTTTGTTTAAATATTCTATTTTTGTAGGCGTAACACATTTATTACATTACTTATTCAAATGTATAAAACCTTGGTAAATATATGAAAAATGTATCATAAATTAATGACGAAACATAAGCAGCATTTGATGTATGAATATTCTTTTACTGAAAATTGTAAATTTAAATGAACATTGCATACTTAGTATTTCAATACATATTTCAAATTCGCGCATCTATATATATAATTAATATTGAAAGAGAGAATTTATTTATAATATATGGATTTTTTAATTTAAATATACTTTTGTATTTACCAAAGATTTTTTCATATTACTCAAATAAATATAATGAAATAATGGAAATAATTATATTTGAAGAATCTTATTTGATAATAAATTATACTGTATATCTTCCTCATTGAAATCTATTGATATGTAAAATTTAATTATACTTCAAAATTTTCAAATATTATTTTTTAATTTTTTAATCAGATAATTGAAAATTGCTAATTATACACGTTAAAGGTATATTGCTTCATTATACTCGACAAAAATAATATAAAAAGCATTTTATTCTATTAAAAATAAAATGTTTATGTTCGAATCAACCATTTTTTTCTTATCTTACAATGCTTTATTTTCAAATAAGTAAAAACCGGATATTTGTCATGATTATTTCAAGGCTTTTGAATTATGTTATAAATATATTAGAACTATCAAAAATTACTTATATTTATTTACTGTAATAACTAATTTCTCGCTTTTAGTAGAACTTTCAAACACATGATTAATTATTTATGTTAGAAAATCATAAAGCAGTCAGGTTAAATAATTACAAATATCTCACAATGGACAAATACATAAGATAAATAATTGACATTATAAATTTTAATTAATATGCACATCAAAGATATTATGAAATAAATGTTATATAATGAAGTATATAAATTAATATATAATAGATTATAAAAATATAGGAGAAATTATAAAAATAATAATACATTTTTATACTAATAGAATTAGATTTAAAGAACTTGAATATGAATAAATGTTAATTATTATTCTGATTAAAATGAGAAATGTATGTAACATATGTATTCGTATATATATATATATACATATGCTAGGTATATAGAGGTAGTGTACATTGGTGAAATTTCAAGCATCTTACAGATGTTTTTTTAACATGCATCGTTTGTTTATTTATAATGATTTCAAGTATAGAAGAATTATATGTTTTTTAACAATCCCCTAGTTAATAATTATACATTATGTGTAATGCTTAAAATAAATTATTAAAATTATTTAAAAAATATATAAGTTAGTTCTTAATACAAAGTTTGGAATTAAAAAAAAGAAAAAAAAGTATGGAAACAGTGGAGAATTATGATATCAGTAAAATGGAAGTCAATATTGAATTTTAGAAGCATATGTAATTGTAAGTAATTGTTTTTGTAATAAGTAATAATGTACCATATTGATTATACCTTGTTTTAGAGAACAACGGATTTTATAATGTCGTATTTATATTTTAAGGAAAATTATAAGCTGAATATAGCGTACGTGACCAAAATTAACAACAATACTACGCGACACGTAATCGATCTTCTACCAGCCATATATATAAAATGGGGATGACGCGACGCAATAGAATATATTTTATGTTAACGAGTAAATAGTGCTAAAACTGATTATAATCATGCAAAAACACTTGATAAAACATGCGTAAAGAACATTACGAATATAAAATATTGGCGTTTTAATACTCAAAATCGTTATGAACACGCTGACAATAATTTTATTCATTCTTTGAGAGGCGCCATTCGATAATGGCGTCTTAGGTACTAGAATAATCAAAAAGTGTAACTTTGCTGGTTTGTTTGTTTTTTATGAAAGCCTTGACTCACCCGTCACTCACAATTTCGAAAATAGACGCGACGACTTGAAGAAGATATGTTTCGTCGAGCGACGACAGCAAGGAACGTTCGGAAATGTTAATTTTTATCTTGAATTGGTGAAGCAGCAGCGTCGTAGATCCAGTAAGTTGCTGTCGCCTTGTCCCAGTGAGCGCTGTGCCAAGCTTATATGTTGAAAAATGGCGTCGGCTTCTTCAACAACAGCAGCGACCTCTCGTAGCCCTTTTACCGAAACATTCATTCGCCGTCTCAGTCGTTTTTTTCTCTCGATTTGTCGAATAAGGCCAAAATCCTGTCCCCCGGCACTTTGCATTTTAAAAATAAAATCCACCTTCCTCACTCACTTTCCAAGAGACAAACAAACGAGCTACGTCCGCCCATTCCCTTAACCCATAGAATACATTTCGGTGCATAGCCAACAGAGGGCAGCACCGTACAAGAAAGCTATTCTGCGAATCGCATGGTCGAGTATTTCGTTTGCTAATTTCTCTCTCTCTCTCTCTCTCTCTCTCTCTCTCTCTCTCTCTCTCTCTCTCTCTCTCTCTATATATATATATATATATATATATATATATATATATATATATTTTACTATCTATTATCCCACTATCTTCATTAATTCTATCATTTTATGTGCAATAGCAAATTATAATATTAACAACATTAATAATCCTAATAATAGGCAAAGAGTCGCGGTCGATTAATTATATCTCGCAAACCTAAAATTCCATCGCCCTAACTACACTATCTGATTCGATCGACATCGAACTTAGCAAATATCAAAGGCCATAATAATGCGACAAAGAAATCTCGTGATATTTACACGCTACACTACGAGGCAGCGAGAAAATCTAAGGTTCTTCGCTTCGGGCATTATAAACAAACGAATGGGGAGACGCAGACTCGATCTGCACGTGGGTCGGTTATGCGCGACATTTGAAAAAGTTCGAGGTCACAACGAATGGAATGGCAGGGAAGAAGTCGTCCGGCCAACAGGTTATGTTCGACCCGAGTATCCGCTTGACTAGCGCGCCAATATGATCACGAGGAGTCGAGCGGCTGGGGAGAGCCTTGGATTTGGGTTTGGGTTTGGTTTGTTTAGGCTTGGTCGGTGGCCGATGAGTAGCGGCGGGGCGCGGCGGGGCGCGGCGGAGGTATTAGATGGACGGGCGCGGGGACTGGGCGAGTTGGTCGGCGTCGATGGAAATCGGGGGGTGAACGGGGAAGGGGGATCTGGTGGGAGCGTATGCAGCCGGTGTGCCTGAGCGAGCTTTTGCCAGCGAATAATAGTCGTCGCTGTGTGCGGTGTTGTCGGTCGCTTGCGCACGAGAGGAAGGAAGGACGCGAGGATCGCGCGGGGAGGCAGGCGATAATAATACGCCGGAGATTAACTTTCGAACGCACTGTGCTTAGCGGCGGCATAATAAACGAGAATGACGAACCAGGTGAAGGGCAGCGGCTGGCCGAGGAGATCCAGCAGCAGTTCGTTCGATGGCAAATTACCGCCCAATCCTTCGGTTACCATCAACCGGACGATTAACCTGTAAGTGAGAGAAAGAGAGTGAGAAAAGTCAATAAGAGGCTCGGGGCGCTCTGTAAGCCGCCCGGAATCGGAATTACGCCTCGTACCGAGAGTCGCCACCATGGCCGGCGGAAAGACGCTAACCATGTATAGTTTCATGTGGAAATAAATATTGTAGTCGATAAGCATTTACATTAACGTACATTCGCACTTTTAAGGTTGGTTTCCCGCATTTGATTTCACGATTTCGCTATGCTCGTTTATCAATTGTTGACTGAAAGAACGATACATTTACCTTTACGATATTGTTGTAAGGATAATTATATTATATGTAAATTGGATAATGATATTGTTTTGGTAGATGTGGAAATTTGTTATTATTTAGATTGCTTGTGAGTTAGAGAAGCTTACACGAGCAGCCATATATACTGGTTGTATTGTGGATTTTAGGAAATTGCAAATGCCTATCCAGGTTAACAAAAGTAATCGATCATCGATAATCTTAATAATGTTCGCTCGAACCAACCTTAAAATTATGTGAAGCATTAAAATTTTAATTTACGTTATGTTTATATTTCAGAAGTCAGCTCTATTGATTTTCATTATTTTAAATTTTCAGTGATGTTGAATGACGACGCGCATATGCTTTCGCGCCCGGGCAATAACTATGCACACCAAGGTTGTAGGTGCTAAATTTCTGAAAATTTATATAAATTAACTTTATAAACTACATTTCCCATGGTCAATATAGCTAATTTCAGTGTGTATATATATATATATATACATATATATATATATACATATATATATATATATACACACACAAACACACACACACACACACACACACATATATATATATATATACACATATATGTACATTATTCATTAAAGCTGAACAGAACTGTATTTATTGATAGTAACTTTCAATTTTGTTAGCCTGCCAACATTCGTCGAATGTACTTTAAAAAGTTAATGTTTCATCATTAACATTTTGATTACATTATCAAATTACTTCAGTGTTATTTTTGAAATTGTAGATTTTTAATTTATCATACTTATAAAGAAATTTTATGCATATCCACGTATAATTTTATATTTTTTATTTTACAGCAAATAAGTACCATTGTTTCGCTTTAACTTTACCTTTCTATCAATTTTTCTTAAGTCCATTAGTAATTCTAAAAAAAGAACAGAAATAGTCTTATATTTTCTCTTTCAAAATGATATAAATGTGAAAATTTTAATTTAATATACATAATAATCATAATAAATTAAGATTTCCTCATTGTTTGTAATTAGCTCTTACTTCTCAAAGAATTGGATTGCAATGAAAAATTCAGATTTCTGTACATTTTTTAAACAGAATTTATATTAATGCATGTTGAGTAAAATTTCTGTATCTAATACGTAGTATATCAAGTAATCCTGTCTCTGTATTTTAAAGGCTGCGTAATCATAAAAAAATCATTATGTATATTTATGTTTTGGTTTGATCAAGTATTGATTGTCAAATTTCCAAATGAACGGAACAGCGTTTATTAATTAGTGGATTAATTTATAAACATGTCTATTATTTACCGAAAGCTATTCTATTAATCAATAATTCCTATTTGAATTTAATTTAATTTTCTACTATTTTTTCATGATCATTTATGTGTGCGTACATTTGTATTATCTATGTGAATACTTTTAAACGAGAGTTATTGTAATATATTATACTGTTATCTAAATTATAATCATAAAAGTCTTAATTTCAAATTAAATCTGCAACATCATTTGTAGTTTCATCTGATATAGTTTCGTAAAACCAAGCACATTTTGATTATTTGAATTTGTGAAATATCTTGTATTTTTTTATGAATCGATTGTATATAATTATGTTAGTGCTTGGTAAAAGTTTAGTGGAAACTAATATTTGATTTGATATATTATTTAATGTAAAAGCCTTAACAGAACCAAAAAAACTGATTTAGATATCCTTTGACAAACTATACATTTGGAACAAAAGAGCCATTGTTCGAGAAAGATCCATCTGTACCTGCTCGATTCCAACGGATGAGAGATGAATTTGATAAAATCGGAATGCGCCGCAGCGTCGAAGGAGTTTTACTTGTTCATGAGCACGGTTTACCTCATGTGCTCATGCTCCAACTTGGAACCACTTTTTTCAAATTGTAAGCTTCTTTCAAATTTTAAAAGATCGATAATAAACGTGTATATATTTTATATTTCATTTATACATAGTTATTATATTGTAAATTTAAATTTTGGGAGTACGTAACGTCTAATCTTAATATTCCACAAGTGTCTGGAACGTACGTCTTAAAATAAAGTTTGCCTCCCTATTTGATGTATTTTAATTCAAATAACAATGATAAATTATGAAAATTAGAGAGAAAAATTACTTGATATTTGTCTCGTGCTAACAATATGACATAAAAAGATGCTTGTTTTATAAATATAATTAATTTGATGTGTGTCCGATCATATATGAATATTATTTGTTTTTTAGACCCGGTGGAGAGCTGAATGCAGGAGAAGATGAGGTAGAGGGCCTAAAACGGCTCCTTACAGAGGTAACAGTTCGAGTGGTATTCTTATGCTATTCTTCATGAGTGGCTAGAAGCAGTTTATATTGTATCAATGGCTTAAGTTCTCGTTGTTAATTAATATAAGGCATTTTGAACATTATGTTGAAAAGTCTATTATAATAATATCTTCATCTTTTGTAGATGATAAAACTATCGTTTTCTCATAAATATAAAATATTTAAAAGTGGAAAATTGAATTTTTAATATGTTTGAAGGATAGTTACTGAAATATTTCTAATAATCTTTTTTATACTTTTTATAGTTACATCCTTTTACAAGATATATACAATATTATTATTAATAGTTTTTTTTGGTTTTTTGTTTTTTGTTTTTTTTTTTAAATGTTATGTTGAAAATGTGTAGTAGAGTTACGCTTGATATTGAGAAAAAATGTTTTAATAGGCTTAAATTTTATTTGAAATTTCATATTTTAAATACGTTTATAAAAAGCACAATATCTATTTACAATTTAACGACAAGTAAATTTCAGTACTTTGCTTTATTACTTCAATCGATTCGAATTATCGAACAAGTATAATTATTATGAAAAGTCTTGAAACTTGAATAATTAATGGTATAAAAATTTTTTAACATTCTTAACCAATCTTTTTAAAATTAATATTAAAGGATATTTATATTGTATACAATATTTGAAAATGTAATCGTAATCGTAATCATGTAAATGAATATGTATGTTTGTAGAACCATTGTAACTAGGCTTGTGATTCAAATGTATGTAATTTTGAAATTGACAATTTTATTAATGCGTTGCAAGCTTGGATTCTTCAATGTTTCTAGCCATAAATTGTACAACATTATGTAATATAATTGTCTATATTTATTTATACTTTTAGAATCGTAAAATAAGATATACAATTATTAAAATGTAATGGAAACAAACTGCGTTTACGAAATCTATGTTATTGAATGAAATGTATTTTTTATATTTTTAAAGCAATTCTAAAACCGTAAAAATAGTTGTATACATGATATATTGCGTAACAAATATGTATATGGCATTTTTAAATTAAGTAATCGCATTTTATGGTTATTATGAATTACAAATTATCATACATTATATTTTCAACGAAGGATTTTGTATTTATAAGTTTGTAGTAAAGAATGTATTTACTACTGTAAAGAATATGTGCACAGTATCTATATTTCTTAACGATGTATTTCAAATATTTTCAGATTCTTGGACGACAAGACGGAGTGAAACAAGAATGGCTTATTGAAGATACAATTGGAAATTGGTGGCGACCAAACTTTGAACCACCTCAGTATCCTTATATTCCACCACACATAACAAAACCGAAAGAACACAAACGTCTATTTTTAGTTCAATTGCAGGAGAAAGGTTAGTTAGTACATGAAATATAAGAAAATTCTAAGAAGGTGCAATTTTTTAACAAAAAAATTAAGTAACAATTTTTAATACGTGCATATAAAAATGATTTTATTTTTTATCTTCAAATTTTTATCAAATTGAATATGTTTCTAAGCAACTCTCTTAAAATGTAAATAACCGATTTGCAAAGTATTATTGGCAATTAAATCTGCACTTACAAGAAAATCTAAATCAAGGTTTAATTTAAATTATTTAAAAATTGTTCTTCTTTATCAATAAGCAGCATTCATAGAAAGTTAGTTTTACCTTATTAAATTTATTCTTATTCATAATTGTACTTTAAAATATCAATGGAATAATTTTCTTTTATTTTAGCACTTGTTGCCGTACCTAAGAATTACAAATTAGTAGCAGCTCCACTTTTTGAATTGTACGACAATTCACAAGGATATGGTCCAATTATTTCATCCCTTCCTCAAGCCCTTTGTAGATTTAATTTTATATATATGTGAAGAATTAATTTGAGCAATTTTATTTATACCTATTAGAAATAATGCAAATAGTATTTCAAGTATCGCACTTGACATACGAAGGTATTTGTTTTTTGTAAAATATGACACAATATAAAGGTTTAATAATTTTTGTAAAACATAATCGTTTCTTTCTTTTATGATAAATCTATTTTATACTTTTTTAAATGGAAATGTAATATTAAATTCCGCTACGTTTTGTAAAAGTGCGAAAAGGTTACGAGTTTGAATTTACTGTGTTCTTAAAGTCGCTTGGTTTGTAACTTCACGTGGCGTCTAATTTTGACATTCAAAATGGCGTCACTGATGATCTTATATTACTTGCTGTGAAATAAATTAATTTTTATAAAATGAATATAAAGAGAAATACTGTTATGTATGAGGTAGTGGACTTTGTTTGTTTGTTTGGTGTGATAATATTTTTATACTACAATAAAGTCTTGCTGTTATAGGTACAGAAAGTTCAAGATACAATAGAGCACATATATCATCGAATTAATGTTTTGGAAAGACAACTTGCGCAGCAAATTACCATTGATAATAGAGAGTCATTAGAATCAGAATTAACAATTGCGAAAAAATTACTTGAAAAAAATGAAGATTTGCTGAGAAAGTTACGTAAAGACAACTCAAAAACATTTATGATTGCTGCTTGTCTAGTATTTATTATTTTTTTAATTTTTGGGTTATATTCTATGATCTTTAACATTAATAAATTATAAAATAAATTGATATTATATATAATAGATTGTATAAATTATTTTTCACTTAATTGTATATAAACTATGAAAAGATTTAATTTGCGAACATTTAACATAAAATTTATATTGTTAAACAATATCTGACATTTATGTGATAACAATCCTTCGACTATAAACTATGGTAAAAATCTCGGTGCGCCGGTGATGTCAATCTTGAGTAAGAGTTCAGTGAGTGCATACGTGTACTTGGTACAAAGAAGAGGGTTTGAATTAAACTAAGTCATACTGCGGACTTCCAGCCTGGTGACTTCTTATATACTTTGCATGAGTTTCTAAATCTAAATAACTACCTTTTACACCAAAATCATCTTTCATGGCTAATTTCCATTCCAACTGAAACGACAATGTGACAAGGCTGATCGATAACATTGATAATAAAAATTTATGTACCAATAATAAGTTTATAGTTACTTACCAATCGAAGAAATCTATCACGTGGAATGATAAATTGTTCTCCTTTGAGTATTTTAATAACATCGGCTCTTTCGCACCATGGCCAAATCATGAGATCCAATATACCTGGTTGATTACCACCAAAAAAAGGAGTCCCTCTTTTGGCTAACTCTTTATCAAAGATTTCCAAGCCTTCCAAGACTTCGTTGAACAAGTCTCTATCCACAGTTTTTGCTAAATATATCTATGAAAAATAATGATTTCTGGACAATATTGCTGATTGCACTAATTCTGATAATCTTATTTAACTGAGAAATGAGATTATATAAACGATTTATTTGAGTGAGAAAAATTTATTATTACTATAATGAAAATTTTCCAAAATACTATTACCATATTAATGTATGCTTATTATTTCTATTAATAATTAACAAAATTTATCCGATTCGCGTATATAGACAAAATTATGCAAATAAAACTGTCTTCAAGAGGTATAACAAAAAAAAATTATGCACTATATTGTCAAATATCATTGTTCGTTAAATTAACGGTAATGCAAATTATAAGCTACAACTATATCCATAAATTGATAACTGTTTAATCGTACGCTTACTTTATACATGCTAGTTATGACTTCGTTAAATCTTTCGATTAATAATTTATCCTTTGCCTTAGCTAGTGGATCGTCAGGATACAAACGATGTTCCGGATGAGCTTCGTCTAAATACTCGGCTATAATCAGACTTTCGTACAACGTATCACCATTATCAAATTCTAGGCAAGGTACTTTACCCAATGGACTCTTTTCTTGCAGCCATTCAGGCTTTCGACTTAAATTAATAAAAACTACATCGTATCTAAAATATGATGCAAAAATATAAAATTAAATGCAAAAAAGTATATCCAAGAATTATTTACATCGACAATAGAGTGCACTGCCAATAATATTACCAATATTACAATACACTTATTGAAAGTGTTATTGAATAAATAGGCATTAATTTAATAACAAATAATTATTGGCAAATTAAGTTAATTCACCAATAAAGTAAATACTTGCATGATTGTCTATTTAAAAATAGACTATGAGTCATGTTAATTTTGCAACGATCCTACAATTTTTATCAATAATTTCAAATGTCATTAATGCGTTAGACAATACAACGTTGCAGCCTTACATTAAAAACAAAAAATCTTATCTGTAGAATCTTTCCGTCATCTAATTGTCAATACGTACGGGATTTTTTTCGTGTCTAGAATAAGATGTATCCTTTGAGCGTAAGGACAAAACCGCATACTGTAAAGCCTCAATTTACCTTTTTCCATGGGTGGTGCCTTCGAACCTACCACAGCACGCACAATAAAATTGTTCAATTAACAAATCACGCTGGCATTTTAAAATGTTTATATATCACACTTGCTGACTTACCGACTGTCAAATGTTTCGCTCTGCCCATTATGGTTTCCGTGCTTTTTACCTTCTATTTTATTTTCAACTGGATCCGGGAGCTTCTGTCGCTGAACAGCACTGTTTCAATGCTGGTAATTAAACGATCGATGGATCTAGATTTCACAATTGTATTGTTAATGTGGCCTTCAAGCCTAATGCTTTATTCAACGTCAAGGTATAGGTGCAAACGAGTTTACGGAATGTTCAAATAGATTGAGTGATAGGTTGAGACTTGGAGTCTCCTAGGTCGAAGGACAAGTCGTTGGAGATTATTAATTCTTTACTTAGGCCTTGTGACGGGTAATTGCTGGTAATTGAGGTAATTCTTCATGTTCGCAAACTCATCGAATTTTTCTTCTGCAAAATGTGGATTGGTTAGTGCTTAGTTATTGGACTTGCGTGCGGTTAAAGTCGAGCGCTTTTGTTCGGCGCGAATTCTGATTAATATTTTCTTCGGGCGAATTAGTTCATTTACAAAATCTTCACTCATTGGCATTGTTAAAACTTTCTTTTTAAAGTCCTTCATTACGAGTTAATTATTTGCGCAAAGAACATTACATACACATATCTTGACATTTCAACTTTTAGCATTTTAATTTAATTTCCACACAATTGCTGGCTTAATACATAACACTTTTACAAACATTATTTACTACTTGTTTTTATATAATATTTTTATAATTATTTTGATATTATCATTGTGAATAAATGATACATTTGTATAATAATTAAATTTAGCTTATTATTAAAAAATTACTTTCATTACAAAGCTCTAATAATGTTGACGTACCTACTTTTCACTTCCAAGTATTGATTATAAAAATTTATTTTATAATTATTGACATATTATAATCACTTGAAAAACAATACGAGAAAAAAATTTTCTTTAAAATTTTTTAAAAAATAATTATTGTATATTAAATGTTAAACAATATATATATATATATATATATATATATATATATATATAATTTTTTAATGTTCCTTTTATGAGTATCTTATAACCTTTTAATAAACTTAAGTATTTGTTTTAATTATCCAATGTTGTTCAATTATTTGTCAATAAATAAATGTCAATAAAAATCACATACAGAACCTATGATTAATATATACATTATAAAATCCACGTTCAATGTATTAGAATAACAATTTACAAATTATTAAATAACTTTCATTTTACTCCTTCAAGATTGAACTTTATTTTCTATTTTAAAGTAAATATACATAAATGAAACGAGTATGGAATGAACGTATAATTTACGTTTATATAATCGTGTGATAATTTAAATTAATAATAAACATGATCACGCTTAAGGTGTTTAATAACAAAACATGGTAATTTGGTAATTTTGAAGATATTTCAAACGGTTTTTCGATTATTAGCCTAATAATGTGATATAATAGAAATGAAGGAATTACTAAAATTGCCAGGGAATAATGTATTTTTTAAAATTTATGTATAGTAATAAACTGTTTTATAAATATAATACATTAGTATTAAATTGAATATTTAATTGCAGTTAAATCTCGTCAGATTAAATTTTTCCATTATATAATTAATTGGTATATATTGAAGAAGTAAATACCGTCACAATTTCTCCTATTTTAACGAATAATATTAATTAGTACTTTATAATATATTTATTTTATCCTCTTTGATTTATCTTATTTTCAAATGTGATAATATTGAAAATTGATATATCTTACAATGTCTGCTATTCAATTAGCTATTATGCTATTATATTATATGTCTGCTATACTATAAAACTTAATTATAACATTTCAAAACGTTAATCGCTAATGATAATTATTGTTTTGAGAGATAAAAGTCGAGCTAACGTTAATATATTATAGGATGCAACGGCTTTTGCATGTTACCATACTCAGCACAAATGACCTAAAAAAAGTTTCATGTTTAACCTTCATTATAATAAAGTTTTCATCCGACATTTCTACAGAGAGTAAATACAAAGATAGCTATATACCAATATCACTTGCGTGACCAAAAGTAAGACGAGCCTGTTGATATTTCATACATTACAATTAGCTGAAACTTCCATGTATTGCAAATAAAATGTATTAAACAATTTGCATTTCATGCCCTGCGTATTTGAATATAAATGTTACATTATTACTTTTTAGAAATGTATGTTTGCCCACGTGTTTTGTAATATTTGTATATTTTTTTTTGGTACAATTCTACAAAAATATATATATTTGTTTTGGAAAATTGTTTTATATTTATGCTTGCCAATTCTAATGAGTTTTACATAGTCGTTCTTGATTATGTGAATTTTTATCATAAAGGTCATCAGGTTACGAATTGATATTAATGTAATTGATATTGAAAAGAAATTGAGAAAATTTTTATCATACTGTAATAAGTACTTCATGCATAAAAAAATAATTTATTAGTTTTATGTCTGTATATGTAAATGTATATATTTATCTGTCATGTATACAAGCTTTTATGTTAATATATTTAGCTTTTATCATAATATGAAATCACAAGAATCATAATAGCATAATCGGAATTTATGGTTCAACAATAGACGAACATATTTTGTGCACTTGTTATAGATTTTCTTTTTAAATTCATCAAAATGAAATCTCATTTAATGAGTCGTAATTTAGAATTGTATAAAATGTATAAAAGTTATAAATTGTATAAAATGTATAAAATGTATAAAAAATCATACTAATTTATTATCCGATTGATAATCCTAAACAATTATTAATAATATTACGATCGTAACATTAAGAAATGCAACTCAAACTCAAACTTCTAGCAGTGGAATAAATAGTATGATATTATGAGGAAAGTTTTGTAAAATTTGTGGTATTATGATTATTAGGATCGTCGAGAAAGATAATATTCGGTGAAAGTTCAATTTTTCATATCTACGTCATTCATAACGACTAAAAGTTTTTAAACAGTTGAAAATAATTATGCGCACGTACATATGTTCCACTATCTGATCGAACATTGGTTAAATAAACTTGATTCTTAGATATAACAGATGTTGCTTCTAATGTTTCATGAATTGAATCTAATTTTTCTTAATTTTTCTCAAACTAAACTAATTTTTCAACTCAAAAATATTGTAGATGATTGTCACCCGTTTAAAACTCAAAACAAATTTGTATAATTAAAGTCAACAATCGATTTTAGGGAGGCAATCCGGTTTAGTGTTTAAAGTCACTAGTATCCTTACTTACTATTAACCGAGTTAATAATAAGGATGAATATAGAAATTGAAAATGTCAATTGTCACAACGGAACTTACAATGTAGGCGATTCTATGACTCACACTAGCCTATGATAAAAAAGTAAGAACAATCGAGAAGGAAATTCATTTGGTTCGTAAAGAGTAAGCCCAAGTTACGATCTTGAGTATGTAATGCACGTTCGCTTGGCAAGTTCGATAAAAACAGAAAAAAGGAGAAAATATATATAAGAAAATAAATGAAAAAGAAGAGTACCGGGGTTCGCGGGTTCGAACGACTATGGCAATATGGCGAGCTTGCGCAGGTGAAGAACCAAAACACGAGTGGAAGGAAGGAAGGAAGGAAGGAAGGAAGGAAGGAAGGACGGAAGGATAAGATACACAAGCGGCCGCGGCGGTGGCAACGGCGCGGGGGCAGAAACGACGAAAAGAGAGGGATACGAGCCCTCGTTATACACCCATACATACACACGTGCATGAGGGATAGTCGGGTCGTTTGAGGGGTGGCACTGGTGGGGGTGAGAATCGAAGCCAGCGGTGGGCTACTACTCGACGGTGGGAGTCGAGGTGGCGAAGGAGGGAATCGGAGAGAGAGAGTATCGCGACCAGCCGGGGATTGGTGGCGTCATCGATTAGCTCAACTACGTCCTCTCCCTCTCTTTCACTCTATCCCCCCCCCCCCACCCCCCCCAGAACCTTCCCCTCCCCCTCTCACTCTGTCTTACTCTATAGTACTCCTACGGACGTTAAATTTTCTGTTTGCATGCTTTTCTTGCGTGTTTTCTCTATCGTAATAAATTGAATGGAGTGGATGCTTTCGACTTTCTTTTCGGGGCTCAAGTTCGAGTGATCGTGTAGGTTAATTCCAACTCTGTTTAATCACTTGACTATAATTTCAGATTGTTTTCTTAGGTGGATGACGTGAAAAATTAATTTAAAAATTGTAAAATATATTAAAAAAAAAAAAAATGATTATAGCTAATGTTAAAATTTTCTTAAATATGCAAATAATCTGAAAACAAGGCATTATTAAGAAATTCAAAGTATTTATTATTAAGAATTATTGGTAAATGTTATATTATAGTTATGTAATTTTTATATAATTAATGTAGATAGTGGGAAGGGGTTGAATTTACATTGTGAAGTTTTAATGAGGTAAACGAAATTTTAAAAATTTGAATTGTAAATTTTGACATTAGTGGATAGAATTATTTACCTAAAAAATCTTTCGCATAAATTATTTTATGTTTACTCTTCAATAGATAATAAATGATATTTTTTTATAAATTATAATAAAATAGAATATTGTATTGAACATAGATTCAAAATGTACGTTGATTAAAGCATTTTTCTCGCCCGCTATCAAATTAAATTTTGAAAGAATACTTGAAAAAAAAACAGAAAATAAACCAACAATAAATATATAAATAAAATGAGAATTAGAAAGGAATGGAAATAATATGATTTGACCTATAATTTAGGTGAATATATTAAAGTCGAAACATGTAGGATGTTCTTACAGACAATAATAAATTTACTTTATTAATTAAAAAATAAATCTTATTTTAAAAATATTTTAAAAATCAATAAGTGAGAATTATTCATTTGGCAATACGGGAAGAATTACTTATAAGCTTTAAGAATGATTATAACCTAATAAAAGGAAGAATAAAATGTGTTTGAGCTAATTATGAATTTTTTTTTTTTTTCATTAAACCTCAGTTGATATGTATTTAACCTAATTAGAAAAATGTGTATACCATTGTATTATTAAAAAAATATTTTATAAGAAAAAGTAAAAGGTGTATCAGTCACAGCATCACTATAATTTTACAATACCATGTATAATTCAAATTTTTAGTATTTTCTATATTATAAGGTTTTTTATGCGTTAATTAAGCCTTGGGTTAGCAAATACATGAGCGTTTGCTAAAAAATAACGAAATAGTCTGAGTAGAAACATTGGATTTTCCAATTGCAAATATAAGTTTAAAATGTTACGTAAAATACTTTCACCAAGACAGCCTGCAAAGTATACGTAAAGT